GATAACATTTTCTGCAATGAAACATGTGAAGAGTTATTTACGCAACACAATGTGCTATGAATTTCTCGCTAATTGCTTAACTATTTTCTTTGAGATGGTATGTTATTTGTATTCATGAAGACTCCATGATTTGAATAATTCACTAAATTAAAAGACCATCAGGTACAATCGACATTGTAATGAAAACTATAGTCATCATTTATTTTTTGTTTACGGTATCTAATTTTCTATTTAAATGCGGCCCAGTGCACCACGATATCCTGGATCCGCCGCTGGCGGTGGGTTGAATCTAGGATTTGAGATTTCCCAAATCTAATGTTGGGTTGAAGCAAAGAGTGAGTACCCCCACTTTAGATATCTACATTTATACGGGATTTTCAAGAAATAATCAAGGTCACTTGGGAGAAATAATCAAAATCTTGATATTAAATGACCTTGCTACCCCATATATTTTTTTATTATTCTACTTTTACCCTCAATTAACCTTTTCCACATTTATCATTAACCAATCCAAAAAATCCCTTCATTTCCCCCAAGCAATTTCAAGAAGGCAAAATTTTATGGTTATTGTATTTTTTTGGATCTCATTACGTGGCAAGTTTGATGGGCATTCTATATCTTTTCTATGAAGCTTATAAGATTATCATCGTTCGGTGTTATTTCCTCGGCCAAGTTATTTCCTTATTTAGAAGTCCGAAATGAGTATGATTTTGGTATTATCATGGATTTCACTCTATACAATGTTGAGAAGTCCAGCATTGGCGAAACATTGGTGAAGATGGAGATGGAGTCTGGTGCAACTGGAGCTTTAGAGGAGATGGAGAGATGAAGATCGTACTCTAAGAAATTTGGTGTTTGATAAATCCAATTTTTTTTTATAGTAACCTGGAAACCTTTTATTAATCAGTTAAGGTGGTTACAGCATCCAGCTTAAGCTGATCAACCAAGAAAATCGGGGGACTATCCACCCACACACAACGTTCATTCCACCTAGTCTCCGACCTTGCCATCAGGTCCGCCGCGTTGTTTGCTGTCCGAGGGCAGTGCTGCCAGGTCCCATCCTGCATCTCAAGTAAGAGCCGTCTGATATTCCGACACACAACGCCCAGTTCTGTTTGGTAGTTCCTAGCTTCATGGATTGCAGTGACCAAAGCTAAGCAGTCAACTTCCAAAATCGGTCTGCCCACATTCAGTTGTAAAGCAATCTGTAGACCGAACTCGGCTGCAAGAGCTTCCGCCATCTCAACCTCCCAGACCCCCGTTATCTTCTTTGCTGCTGCAAATAGGCATTTTCCTTCAGAGTCGCGAGCTACTGCTCCTAGCCCCGCTCCTCCGCCTGCCAACAGACCCGCATCCGTGTTGATTTTGATTCTACCAAAGCCTGGTTTAATCCACTTCCCCGCTCCATGGAGCCGCTCTTCATCCTTCCTTCGCTGTTGATACTGCTGGTATTCTGTGAGGAAACTTCTTGCTCTCGGCACAATCTCCTTCTCATCCATCTTCTTCCCGTTGAACATGTGCGCATTTCTTTCCTTCCATAAGTACCACATCAACGCTGCCCATTCTGCTGCTCTATGCTCGTCCATCGTCTCCAAAACCGCCTTCACCCAATGGAAACTATCATCACTCCCTCGTAGGGCAAAACAATCAGCCAAAGCTGAACTCCGCCAGATGCGTGAGGTCCATTCACATTCACTAAAGAAATGGGTTTGTGTTTCTCTGTTCCCACAAAAAGCACATCGATCACCCCTCTTGTAACTCTTGCTGCTCAGGTGATCGCCCGTTGGAAGTATGTCCCGAGCAAACCTCAAGAGGAAGTGTTTGACCTTCGGTGGAGTGTTCAAAGCCCATAGCTTCTTCCAGACTTTAGACTGACCAACATGAAGGAGGGCACCCTGCGCCATTTTATGTCGCAGCCAACTAGCGTATCCTTCTTTTACCAGGAATTCGCCACCCTTGCTACCATTCCAAATCAGCCGGTCACACTCCCCCATTCCGCGTAACGGTATTTTCCTGATGATGGCTACCGTTTCACTTGAGAAGCAGCTCTCTATCAGGTTGTCATCCCAGCTCTCCTCCTCCACCATAATCAGTTCGCGCACAGTGGATTCGACGGGTAAGCCCATCGGCGGTGTCTCGACGAAACCCGAGGGGCTATCCGGTAGCCACTTATCTCCCCAAATCCGAACACTCGATCCATTACCGATCCTCCATCGAAGCCCACCGTTTAAGAATTCCAGCTCACTAAGAAGACTACGCCAAATGAAACTCGGCCGGTGACCCATTCTGGCTTCCAAGATCGATGAGTTTTTGTGATACTTGGCCCTCAGGATTCGTGCAATCAATGAGTCTTGACGTTGAAACAAACGCCAAAGTTGTTTTGCCAGTAGGGCTGTGTTGAACCCTTCCAAGTCTCGAAAACCAAGGCCTCCCTCTTCTTTCGCTACCATCATCTCTTCTCGGCTCACCCAGTTAATCCTCCGTTCTGATCCTCTCTGTCCCCAATAGAAATTCATGATCATGCTATGGACTTCATTGAGGATACAGTCTGGTACTCGGAACACCGACATGGCATAAGTGAACTGAGCCTGAGCCACCGATTTTATCAGAACCTCCCTTCCAGCTACTGATAAGACTCTTTCCTTCCAACCCTTCAGTTTCTTGCGGACTCTCTCCACCAGGCCCTGGAAAATGTCTTTTTTTTATCTCCCTACTACCGTGGGCAATCCCAAATATTTATCATGCTTTTCCACCTCCTTCATCTGCAATATACCTCCAGCCATAAGCTTATAGTGAGGTTTGACATTCCCACTGAATGAGACTTCCGATTTATTGAAGTTGACTAGTTGACCCGATTCTTCTTCATAGGACTTGAGAATCTGCTTCAAACTCGAGCTATCTTTGTCCGTTGCCCTTCCAAAGAAAACTGCATTGTCATAAAAAAAGAGATGTGTTACTGTCGGCCCTCCCTTCGCAGGCTGAATTCCGTTTAGCTGTTTATTTCTGGCCGCCTCTTGTGTGTAAGCTGAGAGGCCCTCTGCAAATAACAAGAACAGGTATGGTGATAGGATCTCCCTGGCGTAAACCGCGACTCGGCTGAAAACTTGGTGATTGATGCCCATTAACCAGAACAGAATAAGTTACTGTTCTCACACACATCATCACAAGTCTCTTACATTTTTCCGTGAAGCCCATTTTACTCATCACCCCTTCCAGAAAATGCCACTCGACTCTGTCGTATGCCTTTGCCATGTCGATCTTAGCTGCGAAATATCCATGTCCCTTCTGCTTCTTCCGCTTCATAGAATGGAAGCATTCGAACGCCGCCATGATGTTATCAGTAATGAATCTGCCCGGAACGAAAGCACTCTGCTCCGGGGATATTATTTGGTCTAAGATATTCTTCATCCTGTTCGCAAGAACTTTGGAAACCAGCTTGTAGATCACATTACATAGGCTTATTGGCCGAAAATCCTTTGGTGAAATAATGTCTTTCACTTTCGGGATCAAGGCTATAAGCGTATGGTTAAGCTGGTCCGGCATTACCCCCGTTTCCAAGATCTCCAACACCTTTGCTGTGACATCCTCTCCTACAATATGCCAGTAGCGGCGGAAAAACAGGATCGACATCCCGTCAACACCTGGGGCCTTCCTTTTCCCCATTTGCTTCAAAGCCTCAAAGACTTCACCTTTGTCAAACGGTCGGTCAAGCATCTCATTCTGCTCCGGAGATATCGCCCGTTTTATTGAGTCAATGACTGGAGTAGTCAATGGCCGAGGACCTGCAGAGAACAAGAGGGAAAAATAATCTGTTAGGCACTGGAACAGCTGATCCCGCCCCATCCGCCAATTGCCCGACTCGTCCATCAGCTTCTTTATTGTGTTTCTTCTCCTTCGATCCGTCGCCTTCTGGTGGAAAAAATTGGTGTTGAGGTCGCCTCCCTTCAACCAGTCTGCGCGGGATCGCTGTTGCCAATGCATTTCTTCATTTCTTTCAACTTCGTCCATCTCTACCTCAAGCTGGGTCAGCTGGGCCACAATGTCCGGCGTTCGCGGGGCTCGTTCCAGCTTCTCCATAGCTCGCCTAATTCGAGCCTTCTGTCTGTCAAAGTTTGGGAAAGCTCGTCTACTCCATTGATCTAGCATTGACCTGCAAGATAGAAGCTTAGTTAGAAGGTCTACTTGATTGTCTTTCTTCCATGCCTCCTCGATAACTTTTGGGCATTCTTCGTGGGTGGCCCAGTACGGCTCAAACATAAAAGACCACCCCCAGCTCGGTTCTTCATCCTCCTTTCCCGCCGTATCACAAAGAATAGGTCTGTGGTCTGACCTCTCCTTATCAAGGTGTCGCACACGGCCCTGGGGAAAACGCTCCTTCCATTCTGCCGACGCTACAAACCTGTCAATTCTTTCCTCAATGAAACGGTCGCCCTCTCTTTTATTCGCCCAAGTATATCGATATCCCTGAAAACCCAGGTCAATTAGTCCTGAATCTGTTAAGCAATTTTGCAAATCCATCATCTCCTGCTCCACTGCAGCTCGACCTCCCCTCTTTTCGTAAGCTGATAACACCTGGTTGAAGTCCCCACAGCATAGCCACGGACCATTCCATAGATTCCTCAGCCTTTCAATCAGTTCCCAGGTCCGCCATTTATCATGGCTCTCTGGCCATCCGTACACTCCCGGGAATCTCCAAACTTCCCCATCCTCCTCTCTCACCTTAGCATCAATATGGTTCATTGAGAGCGACATAATTGTAACCTTCATCCCCTCCTTCCACCAAATGCTTAGCCCTCCCGCTTGTCCTCCCCGCGATCTGTCTGTAGCCCAACTATCACCATCCTTATAACCCAGCTCCCTCCTTGTTAATTCATTTTCTTCTTTTGTTTGCTTAGTTTCCATTAAGAAAACTAAATCTGGGGAGATTCGTCGTAACAACGAACCCAACGCTTTAACTGCTCGCTTCTTCCCCAATCCGCGGCAGTTGTAGCTGAGTATCTTCATTTATTACCTGAAGGGGATCGGTTCCCCGCACCATTCTTATTCACACCCTGCATTACTGTCGTGGCTTTCATGCTTGTATTCTTATCAATCTGGGCACCCGAAGAAGTAGGTATATGCGTTGCTGCCATGGTGGATGTACCTCCGCTCCCTTGTCCGGTATCTTTTGTTAACCGATTCCCCTCCCCCTCCTCCACCGTTGTGTTATCCCGGGTTCTGCCCTTGGGGTGAGGTCGGTCAACCCCGCCAGTTGTCAGGCTACTCTTCTTCCCACTGTTGTCATTCATTCCATGGCTCTTCTTATTTCCTTCATTTTGTTTGTTTGTTTCACTACCACTTTGCTTTGTGGTTTTTATTCCTGTATCCCCTACTCTTCCACATGTACCTTCCTTCCCTTCTATTATTTGTTCAACGTGTGCATGGTCATGCACCACGTGGGCTTCTTCTCCAAGAGTAGCAAATCTGTTTCCTTTTTGTATATAGTTCTTAGATGCTTCTCCATGGTTCCCTCGCTGGCCTCCCCTACCTTGTGGCCTTCGATCTTTCCTTTTAACCGTCATCCAATCCCCATAAGCTTTGCCTTTCGATGGATCATTCTCAAGTTGCGTTTCTTCCACCATTTCTACCTCACCAGTAGGGCTCACAGGGGTCGGATTTTGGCATGGGCATTGGGCTGGTGGTTTTCCATAGGACCCACACTGATCACAGATGTTTTCTAAGCCTTCGTAGCGTATTAAGAATTTCTTTCCTTCGATGCTGTACTTTGCTAACAATGGCTGAGTCAGGTCCACCTCCACACAGACACGGGCAAACTTTGTTCTCGCCCCTAACTCCGTTGCCCTATCCACACGGATTGGATTCCCGATACTCTGAGCTATAATAAGCACAGCTTCCCTATTGTAAAATTCCACTGGGAGGCCTGGGAGCTGAACCCACACCATTGTTCTTTTAACTTCTGCAGTCCAGTGGTTGAAACCTTTGAACCAGAGGTGTACTGTTAGATAGGTGTCCCCTAGCAGCTACGGTCCCCCCATTGTCACAAATTCATAGTCCTTTTGGCTTCTGAAACAAACCATAAAACACCCATTCTCCATGTCTGAAATCTGCAGGTCCCCATGGCGGGCCCACAATGAGTTTAGCCGCCGCGCAAGCGGCACATATGATACCTTTCGCCCCAGGCCTTGTACCACCAATGCAGATCTCCACTCTCTTCTCCACTTTATCTTTTGTGCTGCCGTAAATAAGATCTGGGGACAGGTCGGGTCATTGTTTTCTTCATCAAGCACATCATCTTCCTCCTTCTCCCTTTGCGCCACACCCTCCGTATTGGAATCCTCTACATACCATCCTTCCTCTCTAACAACGTCACTGAAGAGCTTGCTCGTCCGTCCATTCCATGCTCCTTCTCCTCCTTGCTTTCCTTGGCCATCGCCTGGATTCCTTTCCGTTTCCTCCGCGTCCATGTCCGTTGTGATATCATCTTCCAGGCCCACCGATTCTTGATCAAGGTTGAGTGCCCTAGCTCTTTTTTTTTGTTGGACAGCTTCCTTCGCACTCTTGCCATCTGGTGATGAGGAAGCTATCGCTGGACGCCTTGCCCCCGCTACCGTCTCAGGGGGTTTTGCTGGAGGCGTCAGCTTGTTAGACTGCGCCGGCGTCGTCATGAGAGCCAGGAAACCCTAATCGCCGATTTCACGTACTACTTTCGCCGCTCCGAGAAAGTCGCGCTCCAAAGCAATACTTATAATTAATCCGCCATGAAGATTTTGAGTTTTGATAAATCCAATTCAATCACATAAATGTTGATTGCACTAAAAAAATAATGCAAACTTAATAACGGTAGCAAGACCATTTTGGCTTCGAACACAAAAAAATCCTACTCATCATTATACATTATATAATCCAACAACAACCAAAAGATAATTTTTCAAATTCACAATGAACCAGTGTTATTAAACCCTGACCGGACCGGCCGGTCAGACCGGGGAAACCCGGACCCGGGTACCAATCCGGTCACGGAAGCCTAAATCCGGTCACAGCGCACTGAGCGCTCCTTTTTTTCACGGCGGCTTCTAAAAAGAAAACGTCGCCTAGTTTTTAGCGTTCTTCTAATTAAAAATTCAAAAATATAGAAAAGAAGCCAACGTCAAATAGGAAAGTTACCTAAAAAATAAGTTCCCATTCCTCTACGGTAACCTAGCAGTTCCTATTTTCTCCATTTTCAATTTTGACATATTAATTCCCTTTCTATTATTCTTTAGAGTCGAGTTATTATCTTTACCAACATAAAACAATAGACAATAATCATTTTGCACTTTGCACGTTCATCAAGTAGGCCATTGTCGGTTTATGAACGATTTTTAATACCTGTTTGCTATCGGTTATCCGATAAACCTTGAACCTCTCAATAATCCAGAACGATGTCCGGTTTGATTTTGACAACACTGCAATGAACATAATCGATTACAACAACATTGTAAAGTCTCAGCATTGTACAACAGGTGCAATCCATGCCAACAAAGCCCCTATTAAATGACTATAACAACATTGCAGTCTTAGCTTCTGTGGCAGATGAGGACTAACCTTGTTGAAAATATGTTCAATCTAAGCATAAAAAGGCTACGACAAAGAGGGTAGGAAACAATGTGAATCCATTGCAAGATTTTATAAATGCATTTCTGGTGGACAAAATCAATAAAACTTCCTTTCATTTGTGCTTCTTCTCCTCTCCACCCGTTCTTTAGTAATCTGCTTAGGTTGAACAGTTCTTTGCCTCTTACATCATCGGGGGTGATAGATGGATTGAAGTCAATAGGGAAGGATACCAATCGGTAATATACAGATCCCTTATAGAATACCATCCATCACAGAGTCCAAGTGCCAACTGATAACAAAAACAAACCTCAAGATTGGGAAATCGTCCTAGCTAGGTTATATAAGGTGAGTATATACTTGCTAATCCGACACTTAAATTACCTACAAATTTAGTCTACATGAAGGAGACAACTAGTGGCGGAGGCAGGCCCTTTGGCCTTATCCCGGGACATGGGTAAATTTCGGTGGAACAAAAATACGCCATATATATTTATATTGGTGACGGAACACAACACCTATAGGTGTATTAGAGTACTTTGTCTCTACAACACAACTCAATACTTGTCCAAATTTAACATAAAATTAATTTATTATACTATAAACGAAATTCCAATTGCAATAAAGACCTAATCGGGTCTCTTTTATCCTTATGCCTATTCGATCTTTTCCCCAACAACCCTGAAATTGTCTAGCGACTACGACAATCCCACTAGTTTTGATCTACCAATTACAACTGCAAGCGTAAAAAGAGCCTTTTCAGCTTTGAGTTATATTAAGAACAAGTTTCCAAGTCGATTTGGTGATCAATTTGCTAATACTTCTTTATTAAGATACATTGAAAGAGACTTATATAATAGTGTAGACAACGAATGTTTTTGCGTTTCTTTCACTATATGAAATTCCTTCGTAGTTGTTTCCGAAAAGTACGATTGTATAATCGATTATTTTTAATTTATTAATGAATTATTCGGATATAATTATTTTTTATTAAATAATTATTTTATCAGATACATATATATTTAAGTTATGAAAAAAGGACAGGGGTGATTTGAAATGCTGCCTCCGCCACTAGAGACAACCCCAATTTTTGTTCAATGGATTCTATTATGTTTTTGCTCATCAATTATAGGTTAATGTGAAAGAGAATGGAAGTTATGAGGTACAAAAATTCACTAATTGATGGGGAAAACCAACCTTGGTTACTTGAATTTTCTTTTCTTTAAAACACATGGTTCTAGAATTGTAATATGTCAACAAAAACTGCAGCAAATCAGAATTAGCTCTTGTGTAAAGAAGAGAGAAATGAACCTTATAGACAGGGCAAAGCCATCCTCCCCTAGTTTATTGGATTTCGAAAAGTTTTCTGTGGCAGCTGAGCTTATTACACATTCTTAAAGCTGAAGAAAACGAGGACAGAAGATAACTTGGGGTTATGATGAGCGTAGTAGAGCATGAACATAACTAGTCTAGTTATTCAGCTAACTTGAACATTTGTTAGTATATACTAACTAATATCCAAAATGCATGAATTAATATCCAAATCAGTTAAGTATCTAGATAGCACAGACTATTATTCAAAACATCACAAACTAGTATCCAGATAGCAGATACCAACTAATATCCACAATCAACCAACTAGTATTCAATATGGATACTCTTATGTGTTATCTAGATAATAATTATGTGCTGTATGGATACTATTCTGTGTTGTCTAGATATTAGTTTGTGAATTTGGGAGAATAGTTGATTCATGGTGGATATCAGTTAGCAAATTTTAAATACTAGTCTGTGCTCTCTAGATACTTTAGTACTTGGATACTAGTTCATGTATTTTGGATATCGGTTAGTATCTGCTAACGAATCTTCAAGTTAGCATATTAACTTTCCCCGAAGATAACACGGGGTTACGATTGTCTTCTGAGGATTGTGACTTAAAAAAAAACTGAAAATGGACCAAACTTATGCAAAAAAAGAAACCGTACACTGCAACAGCAGGAATGGATTTGGCTGTAAAAACAAAACAAATAAAAAAAATCAATCTACAGTATCATTTATAGCTGAAAAGTAAAACTGCAAACCCCATTCAAATTTTCCTGCCCAAAGAGTGAATGTAGGAGGCTGACGTGGCAGAGCATTTAGGCGGGATTAATGTAAACATCCCACGTTAGGAGTGAGAAGTAAAATTGCAACCGCCGTTCTTCCTCTATCTCCTTCATGTTCCTTTCACTTTCTCGCATCAGAAACTCCTTCGTTCTTCCTCTACCTTTTTGTTTTGCAGATATCTCCTTCCTATTCTATCAGTTTCTCGCATAAAAAATCTCCTTCCTATTTCCAATTTCAAACAAATCGAAATCCCTAATTATAACCAAGTCGACGGCGCCACTCGCTGACGGAAGTCCTTGGGAGTGGGGAGATCGCGATTGGGAGTACAGCGGACGATCCCACCGGCGGAGAGGTTGTCGATGAAGGCAGATTTTGTCTCCGGCAGCCAGCCCACCTCCCCCGCAGGTTCCAGAATACCTCCAGAGATTCACTGCTATCTTCTCTGTCGATTGCTGCAGCAGACGGTGTATAACTGCCGGGCAAGAATAACGATGACGACGTAGGCACTGAAGAAACAAAACCACTGAGAGCCTCGATCGCAAGTTCACTCATCATGTATGTTTTGTTTGCTGATGTATCGAACTACAGAGAAGTTGAATGGAGTATTTGTTTGTATTTGAAAATTTTGTGCCCCTCTTCTGTGATATTTGTCATGTTTGCTTATGTTTTTTGTGCTGTTTATGGATTCTCCTTTCCCGTGCTTTCTTTCAATTTGATTGTGATCAAGATGTCCTTTCTAACATCATAGTTTGAATGTCGGAAATCAGTCCTAGATATCCTTTCACCTGAGCATAGTTGTGGTAGGAACTGGGAGGAGAGGGATGATAGGCTCCTTTTCGATTTTGATAGTGTGCATAATGCATCTTGGAAAATTGAAAAGGTTTGTTTGTTTAGGTTAAGATTGTATGTATCTCATCTATACCGTGTGATGTGTGGCAGGGGTCAAGTGACATTGTTCAGTTAGGAAAGATTTTCCAAGCAATTGGGTCTCCAACACCTTCCCAATGACATGATTTGGTATACCTTCCTGATTATGTAGTGTACCAAACAGTTCCTTTGCAACCTTTGCGTAAATTGTTTCCAATGGCTAGTGAGGATGCCCTGGATCTGTTGTTAAAGATGTTCACTTATGATCCAAACGCTAGGATCACAATCCAACAGGCATTGGAAAACAGATGAGGAATAAAAACTCTATCTAGATGGGAGTCTAATAAATTGTGTGGTTTCTGATATACTATTATTT